TTTTACAGGCAGGGTCGGGGACGAACAGGCCACAAGATCAAGCAGTTGTATGCAAAAGAAAAGCTATTGGGAATGCGCGGTTGTACTTTGAGTGGTTAAGAAATAGTTGCTCTAACCCCTAGACCCTGACTATCATCCATAATCCCAAACCCTAACCATTAACCCCAACGCCAACAGTATTGATTCCATCAGGTGAGGCTACCAAACCACATCTTAACCACAGATTTTACTGGACTGTAAGAAATTGTTTTAGTAGTAGCCAAACTAAGTAAACTTTTCATTTTAACTCAACAAAGGAAACTAGGTACCAATCTCCTCCCATATTCTTGCGATTCCTGAGGATACCAATTTAATAGGCTTCAACTCTCTCACTATTTACCTGCGGTTATTTGGTACAAAGCCTGACGATCATTGGGTCATAGTAAAAAGAGCACGTTTTACCCGGACAGTGGCTAATCTAGTAAATAATATTCACCTAGATTGCAGTAGGAAAATATCGACAAAATATTTTGCAAATTTCAGACAAATGTCCGAGCGGATTTAACCTAGTATGTGACAGTAAAACGAAACATGCACGCGAGAGATTTCCGCAAAAAATGCCTACTTGTTAGTTTCGAGATGTTCTGGAAATCTTCTGCTCCATCCATGCCGCAGCACGTCCCATTAAACTAGCAAGGAAAGAAAAATAAAATTGTGAGAGGGATCTTTTTACAGCCTCGCATGTACCCTTCTTCATAGCAAGAGGGTATTTGTGGTAATTATGCACCTATTCTGTCTTTTAAACAACACCGTCGCAGAAAACATGATGAAAACTCAATAATTGGTATTCTTACTGTCATAGTTAACATCCATATTGCAGATGAGGCTTTTCCAAAGTCGTCAGTTTGGTTGAAGTGCTTCAGCAGTTCCGTCATGGCGGTGTCAATTGATTGTGTTAGCTAGAAATCAAAAAAAGATATTATGCCTTTAAGTGACTAGCAAACAGCGTAACTGTCTTCTTGTCAAATGAAACTTGGGGGGATTTATTAGGAATAAGTCGCATCAGTCAAAAGAACAAAGAAGAAAGCATATTTTTCTTGAAGATTCAAGCAGCAATGGTAGGTACCTTTGTGGGATTTGAGAAGAGGACTGCCACTGCGATAATTTGAGCAACGAGGAGAACGACCAGAATGATTGCATACTAGAAAAAAACAAAACAGAGTAAAATGCTAACTTCCTGCCTCTAATAGTATGTCATGTGAAGCCATTAAAAGTGCTACAACACATCTGACAAAATCTCGCTTTCCAGGCCTATCTTTAGGGTGTCCATTTGATTTATTCAAGGTAGCCTTTGTCAAGCAAATAACAAGTGACCGGCTAAACATCAGGCCGCTATTCGTGACAAGTAAACTCAAAAATACGAAAGCACCACAAAATATGGATGTTTTTGTTAAAGCCTACGCACTCCTTAAAAGAGCCTTCGATCAAATTGTGTGCCCAGTCCTGCATATTCTGACCAAATCAAGGGCCAATGGAAGTAGCATTTTGTAAAAAAATAAATAAATTTGCTTACAATCTTAAGGAGAATTCCACAAGCACAGCAGGAGGCAAAAGCGCCAATGAAACAGAGGATGGCCAGCGCCAAGCCAACCACGATGAGTATGACAGAGACACCGGCTAAAATGCAAGCGGAAACGTGCCTTTTTTACCGCATCTGCGCTGTCACAAGGCTAGGGGAGGTCTTTACGTTGTTTAATGTTCCACTTAGGCAGTTCTAACAAAACTTACTTGAATTATCAAGGACAAAATTAGTCAGATAGTTGGCTTGTTCATCCTCAATTTTACCGCCAAAACTGAGAGCTTTGTTAAGGAGGGACTTGACGAAGGAGGCGGACGACTTTAGAAGGACTCCCATCAGCGCCACAACGAGGAATCCAATCTGTTTTTTGGGGAAAAAAGGAGATGTTTTGAGCGGTTGCGTAGTGGTTACAATGGAATTTGAATAATTGACGGTTCATAAAAGGTCAGCGTTATGCCTCCTCAGAATAAGGATGGTTTACGCGTCAAAATGTGGCAAAGAAAAACCTTACCCCCAACACCACATTCACTGTGGAGATGACAAACTTGAGTAGAGCTGCAACCGCGCAACACATGTTGTTAACCGCTGAAAAGAAAAGGGGAACTTTATTACTCAACCATGCCCGAAGGACGCACATGGTATTTGAAAAAAAAGCCCTTTAGGCTTATTTTGTATCAAGTATAGTAATATTTCAAAGCAAATGGTAGACTTTACTGGGCAACAAACCGCGCAAAAGCCACAAGAACTGTATTCCAGGATTTACAATGCTTCATAAATTACAAGTAATTTCAACTTATTGCATATTTCTGTCAGGTTAAGATCATTTAGCCTAAATGTAACTGTTATGGAAACAGACTGTGGAAGAACTCATCTCAGCCTCTCATGAGGAAGATTCGTAAATGCTCACACTTACCGAGTTTGCTGTGTTAAACAGGTAGCCAACTGGAACAAATGTTGGAATTGAGAATGTACAGGGCTTTTATAGATGCACACACACACACACACGCTACGCCTACAACCAATTCACAACTGACATGTTGGGGTGGTGGTTTTGTTTTAAGTCATCGCCTAGCAACCAGACAGGTCAATATACGCAAACCGTCTTATACAGCCCCACGGGGCACAATATCTGGTGGGTTCTTATCACTCCCAGCAAGTCACGCGTAAATGCTCCAACTTGCACTTCACTTACTGAGGTGCGGAATGCAAGAATGGCCTTAATTGTCTACGCATTGCGGGCAGCACTGACGGATTAGATGCCTATCTTTAAGCTCCTCAGGTAGTTCCACTTGAAGCATTTGGGTTAGACAGCCTTTCACGTCCCTTCCAGGTTTAATAACTGACGTGATAGTTAGAATTAAAATTCAGTGGTGTTTTGGCAGATTTCAAATAAGTCACTTTGAACCAATAGTGAAAAACTCAATGCCTAGGTGGGATTCGAACCTAAGACAGCAAGGTGAAGGCTTTACTAAAGCCGTACTAAAGGCTGTGCTAAAGCCTTCCTCTTTCTGTCGTGGGTTCGAGTTCCACCGAGGCACCAAGTTTTTCACAGGTTGGTCAGAGTGAAGAAGTTAAATTTTACCACCTTCCCAAATGTTACTTTGTAGCCCACCGATAAATTTGACTCCAAATAAAAATTTGATGTCAAGAGTGAGGAAAATAATCACACACGAATCCTGGCAAATAAAATATCTTTTTGCGAAGGACAAGACGTTGGGTAAGTTCTAGAGGTTCTTTTGGAATCCCGGTAAACATGAATATACTATGTGTTCATTTTAACTCTGCGCATGAAAAAGTATTTCCTTTTGTTAAAAAAGATATTTTATCCGCTAGGATTCATGTTTAATTTTCACGCAGTCTTGGAGAATTTCAGTTCTTTCAACTTTGTGTTGACGCACGTTTACCTGACAATCGTGGCCCCGAACAAATGGGCAATGTTAATATTATGAACCTTTTATAACTCTCACGACACCCGGAAATTCCTATTTTCGAGCAACGTTCTCAAATTTACTAAGCAATTTACTACTCTCCTTCTAATTTGTAGGAAACATTGGAAGTTTTTTAAAAAAATTTGAACATTTTCTAAACGAGGGCAGTTTACGTCGCCTTATTAAACTCGAATTTGTTAGGGGAAAGACATCCATAATTCGCCGGACACCTTACTTTTTGAACACAAGGCATTTTACATAAAAAACGCATTTCCCTTCAAGAAGCAAATTGGCCTAGCTTACTTTTGGAAAAAATAAATAATCTCATAAAAGTATTAAAAGTATATTTAGTCATAAGCTTCTTCACCGTTCCTGGATGAAGTCTGAAATGATAATTTTGATAACCCACCGTGGAAAATAAGAATCAAATAAAAACATTTGACTGACGTGCCTATCAGTATTTATTAATATTAAAATAGAATTTTGAGAGGATTCGAAACAAGCTTTAGGTATGTTAGCCTACTAGCGAAACGGTTGTCAAAAAGAATAGCACGTATGCAGTCAAAAATATCTTGGCTTGGTAACTCTTATTCTAAGTACGCGACACCATTTCGGTATCCCGATAATTTGATTTCAACTAGCACGGAAACAGTTTCGAAGTGTATGCACTTCTATGCGTCGTATTCTGCCTTAAGTGCCGCATCGGTCGCACACTCCTGATGATAAAATTATTCTCAAATGTTCCTTTCTTTTCACTCCAGTCGAAAAATCGCGTTACAATTCTGGTCGTAATAACTGACTGCAAACATCTTCCCAGGGGTTAAAAATAATCGGGGAGGTTTAGTTCTCCAGCCGTACCTGACTGATACCACATGGTTAGCCTACTAAAACAATATTAGTCAGCATACCTAACTTAACAACTCGCTGAATTAGGAAGGGGAGGAGAGGGCAAGCAGAGCTTAAAGCACTCGCAGGGAGGCAAGTGAAGGTGGCGTGTACACACTCCCCCCCTTCCCACACAGCTACTCAGTGGATTGAGAGGACAAGGAGGGCGCAATCAAAACTGGAAGTCCATGGGGGAAGCCGCGTGGTAATTCGCAGTGCATGGCCACTGTAGTGGAACTTACGGAGTTCCACATCGTCCGACCAATTCCATTAGTAAGTCAACTTAGCCGATCGATGAATTAAGGCAATGAAGAGGGCGCAAGCAGGGCTCGAAGTACGCGCAGCGAAACGCATGTGAACTGATACCTGAAGCAACCGAGGCTGGAGTATAAGCTGCCCTCCTCCCCGTGGCACAGTCACGCGCTGGATTAAAATGGTGAGAAGATGCCAATACGTGATGTTTGGAAAGTCAGCGTATTTGCATCTACTAGAATTTTATTCGAAGGCTAAGCATATTGCATCACTCAGGAGGGGATGCAGGACCAAACCTCGCCAAATCGAATTACAATTCTGGTCGTAAGAACTGACTGCGAACATCATCCTAGAGGTTAAAAACTAAGCTTACTTAACCAGAGGTATAATTGCAGTTAAATTTTTGAGTTTATCTAGTGGATCCTAAGGTTTGGAATGCATTTAACGTGAAGACTAACTTGGCCGCTTAGTGCCGGTTCCTTCAAGCCATTAACAGTTTTAGGCACAACATGGGCGAATGTCTGCAGGGCAGAAAAGGTTTCAGATATTATTAAGAAGGCAGCTTGACCTCCGAGACGGTCTTTGCTATTGGACGCACAATCAACAATTATGAAGGAAGAGTGTATCAGTGCACGACGATTGCGTGCCATGGACTAAAGGAGGCGTCGCATCGTCCGATTGTAAGACGCAGTACCCAACATGCGGGAGGTTGATCGGAATGCCGACTCAAGGAGCTATTGACATCAAAAGCCTGAGTATCCAGCAACTATTGACCTGTCAGACGGGTAACGCGCAACCGAATGTCAGGTCAGTCATCAACTGTCCGCAGCCAGATATGATGTCACAAGTCGCCCTCGAAACACAAAGGATAGATTTCATGAAGACTGGACGCGCGGAAGGAGAGAAACCCGTTGTCACACGTGATAGCATGCGTCCAAGAAACAGTCCATGAATTTCCCTTTGCGGACAGGATTTTAATGCGCTAGAGGGAGGAGGGGACAACGAGGGGGATGGAAAGCCGCTAGGCGGCTTCGACCTCCGGGAACTGTACCATGGTCTGGTCTACCGATCAGTCACATGTTGATTCGTAAGGGTCAACTGACGCAGCTTACTTTCTAGCCGAGGATTCATGCCCCGACGTGCATTGAGAAAGCAGATGACGTGTCTTTCATATGCAGCAACGATGATGGACAGTTTTACAGGTCCAAAATCTAATATGAATGTACTGACTGTTACCGCGATCAACCTCGATTTCTCATATAAACGCACACTTTGGGAGCGCATGAATCGCCGCGGTCGTGCTCTTGGTCTTCAAGCTCCCGTCTGAATACCTCGAGGGCGGTGGCGTGAAAACGCAAAATAAGGACAAAGTTGAGAGACCCCCGAGTAACCATTTTTGGGAGAGTCGGATGTTACATTTTTGCCTAAAAGTCACGTCTGTGCCATGTGAACATCGATTGTCGGCTGGCTTTTCTGCGTAATCTCCGCTTATCCTTCTGATGAAGTCATAAGATGTCGGCTATGGACTTTTCGCGCTTCTTCGACAGATCAAAGCGCGCAAAAATCCACTGCTCCAGGAGTTTGACATACGCGCTCCATGTCGCCGAGACGAACCTACATGTACAGGTGACGATGACAGGCCAAGGTCATCGCTGTCATGTGAGGCACTGATTTATGCCATCTTCTGGGTTCGTCTCAAAAACTTTTCAACGGCGGTATGAAGGCAATCCTGTAGAATCCTTCAAAGCTCGTAATATAAGCCAATTTCAGAGGGGTGTTGGTCTAAAAAGCGCGCATTTTGCGCTCTGTTAGAGATTAGACCTTGTTAGGTCTGACGAACTGAAAATCTATTAGCCACTACTATGGTGGCCATTTGCAAGTATCAGTATGCATTCCACTACGGTAAGAACCAGTTGTCATATTCTTCTACTGCTGAGGCGTCCGCCTATGTGGGTTTTGGCATCTTGAAAGCAAAATGCATAACTTGTTCAGTTCGTTCAGGACTAGAGAAGGAGCTTCCTGCTTGCACCTGCTTGCAATTCTATTGGCAGCATGTTTTAAATAAAACCCTTTCATACAAACTCTCCTAAATGCACCTTTCCCCCTCTTCTACTGATATTTGACTCAAATACAACGGGCGAGTAATGAATTCCAGTCTGAAAACATCATTACATGTTTGTTTATAAAGTTCGGGCGACACTGTAGATCGTAATTTCCGAAATGAAGTTACCAATTAGAACTCATATGCGGAACGCTGTGGGACGGACAACTGAGTGGATACCTTTGCAGTGACAAAACTTGGACGAATCTCGTGTCGGCCTCTTTAACCACATGCAGTGGGCAAATAAAAGCAACCAGGACGTTAAGCATTTTATGCGTCTGCTATGCCATAATCGACAAACCATGGCTCTCGCAGCCGGGTGTGCGTTGGCAGTTCCCTGGCATGTTGTTTCCAGCCGATAGATGCGTTTACCCCCGCTGGGTATGCAGACCGTGCGTCTGGTTGCCTAGTGACTTGTGTCATCCTCTGCCCTTTCTGACCAAGTTTTGTTGCTGGTTGAAATCGTGCTGTGCCATCCACCGGCGCCCCCCATCACCTCTGGCCTTCTTAACTATGTTTTGAGCTCGGGCCCATATGGGGAGGAGGAGGAGGAGGAGAGAGAGTGCGGGAGCTGCTGCGCGAGTCACCGCGCATGCTCTCGCCCGGCTTTGGAGCACACTGCGGACATCGGCGGTCATGATGGTCAAGGCAAGAGTATGGCGGTCAAGGATGTGAGATCAACCTAAACCACGCACAATGAGTTCGTTTCGTGTAATGTCAGAAGTTAGGGAGCTGTGGGGACTAGTTTATTCTATACGCAGGGCAGGTTGCCGTAAGTTGGCTGTTTGCTTGCGACAGAGATAAGCGTCCGTTCATGGAGAGTGTCAGTTGCGGTTCAACCACGTCTGGAGATCGCTGGTCACCAATTTATCGTGATCAAGCGGTGTGAGTGTGTATGTCTGTACTCAGAACGCTACTATCTTCGGGCAAAATCCCATGTTTGAAGGAAGAAAACGGAAGACACCAAAATGAGGGCTTTATTGTGTACAGAACCCGGAGTTGTCCTCTCAGGCGGCAGTGGGCACCGGCGATGCCAGGGCTGGTGTTGACTACGTCCAGTCATATCTGCGAGGTCCCTGACAGTGGCCGTCGCTTTTGTAGCCTCGTGGTCCAAGCTCAAGTGGTGGCCAGCCAGTGTGTGTTACATTTGCCGAGGGGTAGTGCTCTAGTGGCTTAGGTTGTGGTTGCACGGGGAGGGTGCGTTCAAGTGGCCGCATGGACAGTTGCGGCTGTGCGGACGCAGGTACGCCGGAGCTGTCGGTCGTGTGACTTCAGGTCAGCGCGTCTGGAAGGGCTCACTGAAGCGAGGTCTTAACCAATGACGCCAGACTGGTCATGGTGGCTGGCCGCCACAAGAGTGACATTTGAAAATTTCTGTTTAAGTGCTGACTTCTATCTGGCGGAAATGCGTAAAATAAAAATGGTATTGACTACAATCACCGGAGGTCAAGAGAATTAGATGTCATTCAAACAAACGCATTTACAGCAGACGATGTTACTCGAGAAAGATCAATCAGTATGCATGTTTCCCAAATCTGCAGAGTTTGCCAAGCAAGCTCAGCCACGCTTAGCCTAGAATTTAACAGAACATTTTAAGCAGTTCCCAAGATGTGCTTGGTTTTCGAGGTCCGACAGAGCCATACTCGCGCACTTTCCCCCTCAGCGTACAGCGCAGTGTATTAATAGCAACTTGTCGCTGTAGGCCACGTGTATTTGTTACCTTGGTGAATTCGTGGTTAAAACATTGTTTTTAAAAATAGGTGACGCGAGGCGATGACTGAATGATTCAGTCTTATGCGCTTAAATTCGAAATCCCAATCTCTCAACTCACCCTGTGCGGCTCTTCCTTTGGACTTTACCACACCTTGTGTCTTGAAAAAAAGTGTTTTCCGCAAGCCTAAGGAGGGTGTCAGCGTCAGTGTATTTCCCCAAACCTTTTAATTTGGACGCAAATTGCTCAAAAGAGATGTGTCAGCGTTTTGCGAAAATCTTATACTGGCCGGCTTAGTCAAATTTTTTGCTATTTGATAAATTATCCGTTTTCAAAAATTTGTTTTCGTTGATTTTAAGCTAGGCTTTTTACAGTAGGCTTGCTAACTCATGAAATGTTAAACTAAATTCTGAAATGCATTTTCGACTCGAATAGATCAATTAAGTAGGACTGTAATATTAACCACCATGTAGCATAATCCTAT